TGAGATATTACAATAAAGGGCCATTTTCAACTTTCCTGAGAAAGTTTCAGGTCACATAAATGGTGGGAGGCTGGCTTCCTTTCTGCTGGCTAGACCTGCAAGGACCTGACTAGAGTAGAGCATTGTGCTATGCCGCTTGCTCAAAGACTCAAGACAGAGACAGATGGGCTTTAGGAACCTGAGAAACTCACATTCATTATCTTCATCATGATTGTGTTTTGTGAATCATGAAGGAATTTAAAAACAGTGTTATCTGTCTGCTGAGAAGGAAGAATGTAGTCTATCTGAATTCAATGCATGAATATATGGTAACTGATCAGTAGTCCTTTAGAATAGTGGTTTAATTCTTATGAAGAAGGTATTTTTGCATCAAAAATTATGTGCTTAATTTTAACAGTAAACACTGCTGGACAATTATTTGAGATTAACATTAAGAATAAGGCACTTTGAACCCATGTGTCTGCTCAGGAAACATCTTCGGTATCCCATGAAACATAGATTGTATTTCTGTTCCTCTCTCCCTCCGCAACATGAGCTCCATTACAGCATATGGGAGCTTTTCACACTGGGAGCTATTCTCAGGGAAAACGTGATTACAAATGCTGTCAAAGGAAATATGTATTTCCAGATGGTACTGGTTGACCAAGCACATCCAGGGACACAGTCTGCATCTTTATTGGCCCTCAGGCCCAAACGAGGCAATGGTGTAGAGAAAGAGCAAGCAGATCACTCTAGAATTATCTTCACTCCAAAGGCCCACAGATGCTATAATAAACACATTTAAGGTTACAGGCGCCCTTCTCACAGAGGCACATAACACAGCAATCTTCTTAATAACAAAACATCACCTCCAAATTATGGAGAAATGGGTATATTCTTGCAAAAGGTAATATTTTCTCTTGTTACTGTTTTGCATATTGTTTTACATATTGAGTGGCTAGAGTCACTACTTACTTACCTGCACGCACTCTGGAACAAAGTCCTTAGAGTCAGAATATGAACATGTAACAATAAAAAGAAAAGACTCCTTTTACATAACTGAAGTGGCAACAATTGCTGTGCAGGAATACACATGCAACACTGGATCCTGGGCTCCTGGTGATCATTTACTCATTTGTCAAATAGAACTATATTTAAATATGGTTTACAAGAGCTAAAGTAGATGCAGACTTGTAAGTCTTGTAAGTACTGTGCCAGTGCAGAAAGGCAGAAGCCAGAGAACTCAGCCAGGTCTAACGTTCACAGTGTTTGCTGGGGCCATATCCAGTTAAACATTCCAAAAGGTGACCAGGGGGAGACAAGTCAGGACTTGCATAAGCATTTCATGTGTCTGCCTCTGCCCCGATGAGGGAAGGAAGAAAGGACATTTATCCAAAGAACAGTCTCTTGACGTTGAAATATGCAGTGCAGTTTGTTGTAAAATTCATGAAAAAACCAAATTTACTTGTTTAATAAAAATAAATATTTTTAGAAACCGCTAGGAAATAAACTTAAAACTATGAGGATACCCTTTCTTTTATTGATTCACTGCTGGCTATTTTGCTTTTGTATTTTTTATTGAAAACATTTTTTAGTACCAAATACAATATATTATGATTATGGTTTCCCTTCCCCCAGTTCCTCCCAGACCCTTTCACCCGCCAAAATCTTTCTTTTGTCTCTCGTTAGGATACAAGAATCATCTAAAAAATGATAACTATAAAATAAAATGAGGTAAAACAAAGGAAACAAACCAGAAGAGGACAAACAGAAGAAAAAGCTCAAGAAACACATACAGATGCAGAGACACATACTGACACACACAGAAATCCCATAAAACCACAAAACTAGAAGCCATAATACATATGCAAAGGTCCTATATGGGAAAAAATACAAAACCCTGACAAGGCATTACGAGACAAAGATGCCATTGATTTAATTTTATGCTGGTCATTTATTGCTGGACATGGGCCTGGCCCCAAAAGTGGTTTGTATACCCAGTGAGAATTGGAGATATTGGAGAAAACTAATTTTTCATTTGCAAGTAGTTATCAATTGAAGTTAGCTTCTGGGTTAGGGATGTGGGTTTGGGTCCACTTCCCTTTTCAGCACTGGGACCCCATCAGGTGTAGACCTGTGCAGGTCCTGTGCATCCTGTCCCAGTCTCTGTGAGCTTATACGTTCACCGGTCCAGCTATTTTTAGAAGGCCTTGCTTCCTTAGGGTATTCCATCCGCTCTGCCTCTTAAAGTCCTTCCATCTTCTTTCCCACAGGGTTCCCTGAGCTTTGAGGGGAGGGATTTGATGGAAACATTCCATTTAGGACCAAGTAATCCAGGGTTTCCCACTCTCTGCACATTGTCCAGTTGTGGCTGTGGTCTCGGTATTTGTTCCCATCTGCAGTAGGAGGAAGCTTCTCTGATGAAGGCTAGGTGAGACTCTGACCTATGGATATATCAAATTCTCTTGGGAGTCATTTTATTGCTATGATTTTTAGTAGTAGTATTTGGTTTCCCTTAGGTCCCTGGTCTATCATTGGATCATTGCTGTTTAAAATCTTCTGGTTCTAAATGCAACAAATAAATAAAACATTGGCTACAATCATGGGCACAGATGGCTCATGGCTGAGCTGCACAGTTTGACTTCGTGGCTGGGGTGAAAATGCATACAACACAGAACTTTCAAGGATTTGCTGTATTTCCAGAACCATAGTCCAGCCTGTGCTGGACACTATCAGATGCTTTTTGTACAAATAAAAAGTGTCCTTATTCCTGTGCTGCTGTTTTTCTAAATTGGCCTCAGTCTATATCGTGACCAAAGTACAAACCCATGAGGAAGGGACTGAGGGTCTCAGGAACTATGTAGATGGATCCCTTGAAGGCTGTCAGCAGGAGAAGCTAACAAGTTCGGGACTAAGAAAAGCTAGGCTGGCTTTGGGTGGTGCTGGTTGTATTCAGTGTGACCGAGTTCTCTCATCTCCTATAGCGTCCTACTGTGAAATGATTCTTTTTCCAAAAATGACTTAGTAGTCACAAGTAGGGAAACAGTGTTCGTCACTTTATTCTTTCCAGTACATACTACTTAGATATAAATCCAAACTAAGAACTGCTAAGTCTCTTACAGTGGCAGTTGATAACTCCTTTTCTAACAAAAATGGAAAGTAGCATTTAAAGTTGCAGAATTAGACAGCCAGGAGAAAGGGTTTGCCTCCCTTTATTTAGCATAATACTTCTTAAGATTTATAGAGCGATGATAGTTAAAATTTTATCAATCATTCATGCACATTTTAGAACAAATGGATTTCTCTCCATTGTCTTACCTAAGATGAAAAAAATCAAAAGAAGCCAGGCCAGTTCCTGCAGGACCATGTTTCCCACTTCTTGGGAAGCGGAGTAAAAAAAGCCAACTCAAGGCCATCCTAGGCAACTTATTGAGGCCTGTCTCAAAATCAAATGTAAGCGCAGTGCTGGTAGAGTGCTTGCCCAGACCTTGCATTCAGTTGCCAGCACTGAAAAAAGAATTAAGGAAGGAAATGAGAGAGGGAGAAGAGAATGGAGGAAAGATGACTAAGGCTGGCAGAGTTCTATGTACTTTGTAATTTTGTGTATGACTAATCTTTAACCTAAATATTGAAAATATCCTTTAGTATATGACAACTCCAGTGAAGAAAGTATAAGTCTGAGGGAGTATTTCATGGATGGAACATAGTGCATGTCTGCCTCTTCTGTATGCAGAAGATTTATGATTTGTTTTGAGACAGGGTCTCCAGTCTCCAAATTCCTCAGATTGAGTTTTATTAGGCCGGGGGATACAATTAGTGCACCTGTGCATTTTAAATGCATGCCAAGACAATATACTGGTAATTATTTCATAATCCTCTTGTCTTCACCTCCTGAGAGCTGAGATATAGGCATAATTCACTGTGCCCAGCTGCTTGCACCTTAAGATACAATGCAAATAGAACTATTCTCAGATAAGTTTTCTTACCTATTGAAATTTTTATTCTTAAAGATTTCTTAAACACTGTCCTGATTAGGTTCTAAAGACAAGTGATTCTGTTTAGTTTTCTTTGAACTCTTACAGCATGGCTTTGTTGTTGTTGTTTTACTGTATGAGGAGTTGCACCTACAACCAGCAATGTTCCTTTAAGAGATTATCTTTCCTCTTGCTTACAAACTATCACTTTCCCTGAGTATTATTTCTGTTACTAGCTATATTCATTGGAAATCACCTGCATTTTGTCTAAGGTAAGTGTTGGATACTCTTCTGCTGCTGTGGTAAAACACCTCCACCAAGGCAACTTATTAAAAATAAAGTGTTTAATTTGGCTAATGGTTTCAGGTTAGAGTCTCTGTAGGCAGAGCAAAGAAACACCTGAGAGCTCACATCTTGATCCATAACCACAAGGCAGTGAGAGACATTGAGGGAGGGAGGGAGGGACAAAGGGAGGGAGAGAGAGAGGAAAAGTAAGAGGACTAGTGAAGGCCCCATTCTCTTGGAACCTCTAAGTCTACTGTCTTAGTTGGGGTTGCTATTGCTCTGAAGAGACATATGACTAAGGCGACTTATAAAGGACAGCATTTAGTTGGGGACTGGCTTACAGTTTCAGAGGGTTCGTACATGGTCATCATGGTGGAGGGAATGGTCACAGGGAGGCAAGCATCATGCTGGAGCAGTAGCTGAGAGCTCATATCCTGATTGGCAGGTACCAGGCAGAGACAGTGGGCTGCCATGGGCTTTTGAAACCTCAAAGCCCACTTCCTGTGATACACCTCCTCTCACAAGGTTATGCTTTCTAATCCTTCCCAAACATTTCCACCAACTGGAAACCAAATAGTCAAATATATGTGTCTATTGGGGCTATAATCATTGAAATCACCACAACAAGGAAAATGCAAAACAAAACAAAACAAAAACCCAAAATCAAAACAAACAAAAATCCTCAAAAAAACCTAAGTATTTTTAGGTGGCACTAGAGATGTAGCTGTGCTTTGAATTCTTGAACACTCCTTTCTTTTGCAGAAAAATATGTCATTGCTCAACCAACATTTGTTTTTGAGAAAGGAGAACACACTTTCAAGGTAAGATCAAACTATTCTGGTTTCGATAAGTCATACTTTAAGGAGGTAGTTGATATGGTAGCTGCATGATTTTATTTTGGCCTTCTCCACTACCTGAATGCTCTTGGAGTTGAGACTCAGAGGCATCAGTTTGGCTGAAATCTCTAAGTTGTGTAAAGTGGTTTGCCTAAAATAATATGCTTATTTGGAATGGCTTTAAAAAGGTGATTTACAAAAAAGAAAGAAAGAAAGAAAGAAAGAAAGAAAGAAAGAAAGAAAGAAAGAAAGAAAGAAAGAAAAAGATTAGGAAAGTTAAATAGCTCCTTAGGTCCTTGCTACTGAAAGATGCTAAAACTGGGTATAAAAACTCCAGTATGCAATATTAGTTTGAAAGGGCTTATAGAGTCTATCTGATGTGGAAACATCATCCTAGAACCGTAGGAGTTGGAGGATTAGCTGTCCCCACCCACTACCTTATTGTGGTTGTGAGAATTCGTTCTTACATGCAATTGTCAATGAACTGCTCACAAAATAAACTACCTTTACTCCTTTGTTCAAAAAGCAGATTCTTACTCCAAATCAATCACTTTAGAATCCTGAGAGCAGGTGCCTCAAAAACCTACATTTTAAATGAGTGTTCAGAAAAGATTCTATAAGCACTGAAATCTATAACCACTGGGTAGACTCTCTGTTGCCATGTTCTTGGTGAAACTGTAGCGTGTCACTTTGTCCCCGTGAGCTGAAGAGCCCTGGCTCCTGAAATTCTCTTCTACAGAGGCAGGGTGGGAAATTAATGCAATAACAGCAAATTTGCAGCTTTTTTGTGTCTTTCCAGAGACCTGCAGAAGACAGCCTGGATGAAACAGCAGAACATGGTAACGAATTACGTCCTGTGTTGTGAAGCCCCAAACCCCAATATTCATACAAAGAAAATCAGTAAAGCACGAGCATTTGCGGCTTGTGACACAGACTCTATAAGACGTAATGGCTTTCCTTGTTTCTAGATGTGCAAATGGATTGAAAGACGACAGGCAGATACCCAAGAACAGCAACATGAGCATTGCCTCTGTGGTTCTAGGCTGAACTTGAGGCTGTATATAGTTTCCTGCACAAGATTCGTTTCTAACCATGTTAATGTGGTGTCTGTAGGTTTATAATCATCTAAGACCCCTCGTATTTAATGTTGGGCTCCACGAGTCAGCACGTTGTGAAATGATGACCTACCCACACAAAGTGGTTGATTCTACTCCTGTGCTGTGTGTTACTCTAAATACAATTCTTGTTGAATTTCTTTCAGAATTCAGTGGTTTCTCAAGAAAACGCATAAGGTCTTCATCTGTCACACTTTATAGTACAGATTCCGAGTCTCCGGGAGGTAGGTATAGTTTGACTATTATTCTGCATGTGAAATTACTAAAAAAAAAATTTCCAACTGGACATTTAAAAGCAAGAACCTACAAAATAAGAACATGCCAGCGCTTTGAGAAGAACTGCATCATTCACTGTATTCTGAGCCAGTTGAGAACAGTTTGCCCATGTGCACATTAACATACCTGAGGCTGCTGTGCCTAACAGGCTTTACTGTTAAAGCAGCAATTTATGTACATATAACTCCACTCAGTATGAGTTCAAAGAATGTCTAATACATTCAAGAAATAGTTACTGAGTTGAGTGAAAATAAAGTAAATTTATGATCATCAGAGGTAGTCTTTGTTTCTATTGATAAAAACATAAAAAATAATTTTCTTTGAATTGGAGATCTAAATCTTTCTCCAAAGAACAGAATCCCCATAAAACTAGACAGAAGATACACTTCTTAATGGCCTGCATTTGAATCTTCTTTCAGTGGCAGCTTCGTCTCAGACACGCCTGAGGTCTTCATCATTCACTGATGCCCCAACCTTCCCCCCCTCTGGACCAGGTAATGACAAGTTCCTAGAGCTTCACTCCTGACACTCTGATGTCTCAAAAATCATTCTTTTTTTTTTTTTTTTTTTATACTATTTTTTTTATTGAGAATAAGAAAAAAAAGTTTCCGCCTCCTCCCAGCCTCCCATTTCCCTCCCCCCCCCCCCAACCTTCCCCCCCTCCCCCCTCTCTTCTCCCCCTCCCCCCACTCCTCTCACCCCCCCTCTCCTATCCAAAGAGCAGTCATGGTTCCCTGCCCTGTGGAAAGTCCAATGTCCTCCCCCCTACGTCCATATCTAGGAAGGTGAACGTCCAAACTGGCTAGGCTCCCACCAAGCCAGAACATGAAGTAGGATCAAAACCCCTTGTCATTGACCTTGGCTTCTCATCAGTCCTCATTGTTCGCTGTGATCAGAGAGTCCGGTTTTATCCCATGCTGTTTCAGTCACAGTCCAGCTGGCTTTTGTGAGTTCCCAATAGATTAGCCCCACTGTCTCAGTGGGTGGGTGCACCCCCCGTGGTCCTGACATCCTTGCTCGTGGTCTCCCTCCATCTGCTTCTCATTGGGACCTTGGGAGCTCAGTCCAGTGCTCCAGTGTGGGTCTCTGTCTCTATCTCCATCCATCACCAGATGAAGGTTCTATGGTGATATGAAAGATATTCGTCAGTAATGCTATAGGATAGGGTCAGTTCAGGTTCCCTATCCTCAGTTTCCCAAGGGACTAACTGGGGACATCGCCTTGGGCTCCTGGGAGCCACTCTAGGTTCAAGTCTCTTGCCAACACTAAGGTGGCTCTTTTAACTAAGATATGTGCTTCCCTGCTCCCCTATCCGACCTTCCTTTATCCCAATCTTCCTGTTTCCCCAAGTTCCCCCAATCCTCCCCTTCTTACTTTTCTCTCCCTGTCCCCCCTTATCCCCAACCCACCCCACCCCCAAGATCCCAATTTTGTCCCCGGCAATTTTATCTACTTCCCTTAGCCAAGAGGATAACTATATGTTTTTTCTTGGGTTCACCTTCTTCTTTAGCTTCGTTAGGTTCACCAGGTATACACTCCGTGACCTTTATTTATGGCTAGAAACCAATTATGAGTGAATACATCCCATGTTCATCTTTTTGGGTCTGGGTTACCTCGCTCAGGATAGTGTTTTCTATTTCCATCCATTTGCATGCAAAATTCGAGAAGTCATTGTTTTTTACCGCAGCATAATACTCTAATGTGTATATATTCCACACTTTCTTCATCCATTCTTCCATTGAAGGGCATCTAGGTTGTTTCCAGGTTCTGGCTATTACAAATAATGCTGCTATGAACATAGTTGAACAAATGCTTTTGTCATATGATAGGGCATCTCTTGGGTATATTCCCAAGAGTGGTATTGCTGGGTCCAGGGGTAGGTTGATCCCGAATTTCCTGAGAAACCGAAACACTGATTTCCAAAGTGGTTGCACAAGATTGCATTCCCACCAGCAATGGATGAGGGTACCCCTTCCTCCACAGCCTCTCCAGCAAAGGCTATCATCGGTGCTTTTGATTTTAGCCATTCTGACAGGTGTGAGATGATATCTCAAAGTTGTTTTGATTTGCATTTCCCTGATTGCTAATGAGGTTGAGCATGACCTTAGGTGTCTTTTGGCCATTTGAACTTCTTCTTTTGAGAATTCTCTGTTCAGTTCAGTGCCCCATTTTTTAATTGGGTTAATTAGCATTTTAGAGTCTAGTTTCTTGAGTTCTCTATATATTTTGGAGATCAGACCTTTGTCTGTTGCGGGGTTGGTGAAGATCTTCTCCCAGTCAGTAGGTTGCCTTTTTGTCTTAGTGACAGTGTCCTTTGCTTTACAGAAGCTTCTCAGCTTTAGTAGGTCCCATTTATTCAATGTTGTCCTTAGTGTCTGTGCTGCTGGGGTTATACTTAAGAAGCGATCTCCTGTGCCCATCTGTTGTAGGGTACTTCCCACTTTCTCTTCTATCAGGTTCAGTGTGTTCGGACTGATATTGAGGTCTTTGATCCATTTGGACTTGAGTTTTGTGCAAGGTGATAGATATGGGTCTAATTTCAATCTTCTACAGGTTGACATCCAGTTGTGCCAGCACCATTTGTTGAAGATGCTTTCTTTCTTCCATTGTATACTTTTAGCTCCTTTGTCGAAAATGAGGTGTTCATAGGTTTGGGGATTAAATTCCGGGTCTTCTATGCGATTCCATTGGTCGACTTCTCTGTTTTTATGCCAATACCACACTGTTTTCATTACTGTAGCTCTGTGATAGAGTTTGAAGTCAGGGATGGTAATGCCTCCAGAAGATCCTTTATTGTATAGGATTGTTTTGGCTATCCTGGGTTTTTTATTTTTCCATATAAAATTGATTATTGTCCTCTCAAGATCCGTGAAGAATTTTGATGGGACCTTGATAGGAATTGCATTGAATCTATAAATTGCCTTTGGTAGAATTGCCATTTTTACTATGTTGATCCTCCCAATCCAAGAGCAAGGGAGGTCCTTCCATTTTCTGATATCCTCATCAATTTCTTTCTTCAATGCTTTAAAGTTCTTGTCAAATAGATCTTTTACTTCCTTGGTTAGAGTTACCCCGAGATATTTTATGCTGTTTGTGGCTATTGTGAAAGGTGAAGCTTCTCTGATTTCCCTCTCTGCTTCCATATCCTTTGTGTATAAGAGGGCGACTGATTTTTTGGAGTTGATCTTGTATCCTGCCACATTACTAAAGGTATTTATCAGCTGTAAAAGTTTCTTGGTGGAGTTTTGAGGGTCACTTATGTACACTATCATATCATCTGCAAATAACGAAAGTTTAACTTCTTCCTTTCCAAGTCAAATCCCCTTGATCCCCTTATGTTGTCTTATTGCTATTGCTAGAACTTCAAGCACTATGTTGAAGAGGTATGGCGAGAGTGGGTTTCTGAGTTTAGTGTTCCTGAGTTTAGTGGGATGGCTTTGAGTTTCTCTCCGTTTAATTTGATGTTAGCTGTCGGCTTGCTGTATATAGCTTTTATTATATTTAGGTATGACCCTTGTATCCCTAGTCTCTCCAAGACTTTTATCATAAAGGGATGTTGAATTTTGTCAAATACTTTTTCAGCATCTAATGAAATGATCATATGGTTTTTTTCTTTCAGCTTATTTATATGATGGATTACATTGATAGATTTTCGTATGTTGAACCAGCCCTGCATCTCTGGGATGAAGCCTACTTGATCATAATGGATAATTTTTCTAATGTGTTCTTGGATTCGGTTTGCCAGTATTTTGTTGAGGATTTTTGCGTCGATGTTCATGAGTGAGATTGGCCTGTAATTCTCTTTCTTGGTTGAGTCTTTGTGTGGTTTTGGTATCAGAGTGACTGTAGCTTCATAAAAGGAATTTGGCAATGACTCTTCTGCTTCTATATTGTGAAATACATTAAGGAGTATAGGTATTAGGTCTTCTTGGAAGTTCTGGTAGAATTTCGCATTGAAACCATCAGGTCCTGGGCTTTTTTTGGTAGGGAGGTTTTTGATAACAGCTTCTAGTTCTTCGTGACTAACAGGTCTATTTAGGTTGTTCACCTGGTCCTGGTTTAACTTTGGTATATGGTATTTATCTAAAAACGTGTCCATTTCTTTTACATTTTCCAGTTTTGTGCCATACAGGCCTTTGTAGTAAGATCTAATGATTCTTTGAATTTCCTCTGTGTCTGTGGTTATGTCCCCCTTTTCATTTCTGATCTTATTAATTTGCATATTCACTCTCTGGCGTTTTATTAGTTTGGATAGAGGTTTATCAATCTTGTTGATTTTCTCCAGGAACCAGCTTTTTGTTTCATTGATTCTTTGGATTGTTTTCTGTGTTTCTATTTTGTTGATTTCAGCCCTCAGTTTGATTATTTCCAGTCTTCTACTCCTCCTAGGTGAGTCTGCTTCTTTTTTTTCTAGAGCTTTCAGGTGGGCTGTTAAGTCTCCAATGTGTGCCTTCTCTGTTTTCTTTAAGTGGGCACTTAGTGCTATGAACTTTCCTCTCAGGACTGCTTTCATAGTGTCCCATAAGTTTGAGTAGGTTGTTTCTTTATTTTCATTGAATTCAAGGAAGACTTTAATTTCTTTCTTTATTTCTTCCTTGATCCAGGTGTGGTTCAGTAGTTGACTGTTCAGTTTCCATGAGTTTGTAGGCTTTCTGGGGGTAGGGTTGTTGTTGAATTCTAACTTTAATCCATGGTGATCTGATAAGATACAGGTGGTTACTAATATGTTTTTGTACCTGTGGAAGTTTGCTTTGTTACCGAGTATGTGGTCAATTTTCGAGAAGGTTCCATGAGCTGCAGAGAAGAAGGTATATTCTTTCCGATTTGGGTGGAATATTCTATAGATGTCTGTCAAGTCCAATTGATTCATTACCTCCATTAATTCTCTTAGTTCTCTGTTAGGTTTCTGTCTGATTGACCTGTCCATTGGTGAGAGAGGAGTGTTGAAGTCTCCCACTATTAGTGTGTGCGGTTTGATGGCTGCCTTGAGTTTTAGTAATGTTTCTTTTACGTATGTGGGTGCTTTTATATTAGGGGCGTAGATATTCAGGATTGAGACTTCCTCTTGATGAATTGATCCTGTTATGAGTATAAAATGTCCCTCTCCATCTCTTCTGATTGATTTAAGTTTGAAGTCAAGTTTGTTAGAAATTAGTATGGCCACACCTGCTTGTTTCTTAGGTCCATTTGCTTGATAAGCCTTTTCCCAGCCCTTTACTCTGAGTAGGTGCCTGTCTCTGTGTTTGAGGTGTGTTTCTTGTAAACAGCAGAATGTTGGATCCTGATTTCGTATCCAATCTCTTAGCCTGTGCCTTTTTATAGGTGAGTTGAGCCCATTGACATTAAGTGATATTAATGACCAGGGGATGTTAACTCCGGTCACTTCTTTAGTAGTAGAGTTCGTGTGCGTCCCTTCTTTGAGTTGCGCTGGTGACGGGTCTCTAGATGTCTGAGTTATTGTGGTCATTGTTGGACTCCTTGGTTAGAGATTTTCCTTCTATTACTTTCTGTAAGGCTGGGTTTGTGGCTACGTATTGTTTAAATTTGTTTTTATCCTGGAAAATTTTGTTTTCTCCATTTATGGTGAATGAAAGCTTGGCTGGGTATAGTAGTCTGGGCTTGCATCCATGGTCTCTTAGTTTTTGCAGTACATCTATCCAGGACCTTCTGGCTTTCATGGTTTCCATAGAGAAGTCAGGTGTAAGTCTGATAGGTTTACCTTTGTAAGTAACTTGGCCTTTTTCCTTTGCGGCTTCAAAAATCATTCTTATCAATGATGAGTTTTCTTTTTCAGACATCATAAGATGTTAATAGTCGGACTGGAGAAATGGTTCAGTGGTTAAGCACACACTGGCTGTTCTTCCAGAGGTCCTGAGTTCAAGTCCCAGCAACACAACCATTTGTAATGAGATATGGTGCCCTCTTTTGGCCTGCAGGTATACATGCAGACAGAACACTGTATATAATAAATAAGTCTTTCAGAAAAAACTTAGAATCTAGCCAGTTTCATAAAGAAAAAAATAAGATGCTAATAGTGTGACCAACAAATCAGAGAGAAGTCACAGGAACAGATGTAAGAGGGCTATCTGAAGATTATTAACCTCACAAATCCAGACAGAGAAGTCACAGCCACAGACACAAGAGGGCTGTCTGAAGATTATTAACCTCACAGATCCAGACAGTGAAATGTGTCATTCTTTTTTTGGCAAAAAGTTTGAGATTGGACTGTTTTAGAACTTCATATATAAAATAAACAGATGCCTACATTTAAAGATGAATTCTGTTATACACTGCATGCTGAGTCAGTTGGGAATTTTGTAGATGGAAGTTTCTGTCCCATCTGGTCCCAAAGAAACACACAGAGGCTTATATTGATTACACATGGTTTGGTCTATTAACTCATGCTTATTATTAACTAGCTCTTACAACTTAAATTAACCCATAATTTTTATCTCTGTTTAACCACATGGCTTGGTATCTTTTCTCAGTAAGGCATTCTCATCTTGCTTCCTCTGCATCTGGCTGAAGACTGAGTCTCTGTCTTTCCTCTTTCCAGAATTCTCTTAGCCTTGTCGCCCTGCCTATACTTCCTCCATGGCTACTGGAAAATCAGCATTTTATTAATATGAGTGTACAAGAGTATTATCCCAAGGCAAATTAATTTTTTTTTTAAAAAAGAGCCTTACTTCAAGCATTCTCTTCATAGTAGGGCTTACACCCTTTGTGCCATAAGCAGTACTTTATACAAGGAAGAAATACAAGGTGAAAACAGTTTGCTTTGTCTTTTTGATTGATTGTCCTCTATCCAAGAACTGCAGAGTCCTCAAACCAATCAATGGACATTAGTAACAGTAATTACAATCATGACTGTGCAACAGTGTATCAGACACTTTTCAGTCACAGGAGCAACAACAGACTCTCTGGATCCACATGGCAAATTGTGTAAAGAAATGGAGAGGAAGCTAATCCCAGTAATCCCAGCTAATCTGCTTCACTTGTTTTTGCGTAAAGCCAAGGGATAGCTTTACTTTATATCTATATAACTACTTCATTTTTAAAAATCAGATATATAAAGGATGAACAAATCGGAGGACCCTAATTGGTAGTAAGCAGCATTTCTACTTTATGAATAATAAATGATGCTGGAAATGATAAAAAAAATAGTACAATTTATGTGATCCACTTGTTCTGTTTCAAGAAATAAAGATGCTAAAGACTACCGAATTCAGCTTAGGTCAGAGCAGCAATTTGATTCCAGCCTTTAGGAGATGATGCTCTGAAGAACACCTCAAAAAAATGCTTCTTGTTCCCTTGTCATCTCAACTAGTCAGACGCCAGCCCCCACAGAATCAAGGCAGTACCCCCCTCTGAGAGGCACAGACACCCCATGTTTGCAGCCGTGACCAATTCTACCCAGCAACACACCTTGAAGGAGACAATCTGGCATTATTGTTGTCATTTCTATTTGGTTTCTGCTACTGTGGCTAAACACTGAGAAAAGCCAGCTTAGGAGAGGGAAAGGTTTATTTCACCTGACAGCTTATAATCTGTCATAAAGGGAAGTCAGGACGGGAATGCAAGCAGAACCTGGAGGCAGGAACTCAAGCAGAGACCATGGAGGAAGACTGCTTCCTGGCTTGCTCTCTTTGGCATGCTCAGCTTGCTTCTTCAACTTGCCCAGAGGTGGCACTGCCTATAGTGTGCTGAAGCCGCCCACATTAGTCATTTGTCAAGAAAATGTCCCCACAGACTTACTAACGGTCTATCTTTCTGTACATATTTCTTTTCAATTGATATGCACTCTTCCAAAGTGGCTCTAGCTTTTGTTGAGTTGACAAAAAACAAAAACAAAACAAACTTAATCGACATAGCTGCCATCCTCATCTCTCTCCTAAGTACCCCTAAAAGTGGATGTAAAGACTGTGTTGATAGTGTTAGAGCATCCTATGAGAGCTATACCCAGGCACACAGGATTCATGACCACTTCAGCGTTTGCAATTTGCAACATTTCTCATGGCACCGATCTATTTAATGATTACAAATAAGATTACCTCTTCTTTAAAAGTCTAATTTTAGGGTTTTGAGAAATGAACAGAAGTAGGTAGCAAAATTTACCTGGCAATCACAATTTTTAACAGGACCAGCCCTCTTTAGTAGCATTACTGCCAACAGCGACATCTACTGGTGCTCTCAGAACAGAACTTTTCTACAAAAAATGTAAAATAGTTCACAGACTTTAAAGGTTTTTTTTTTTAAATTCTTTTTTCTTATAGTGAAGAAAAACAATGTTTTTATGACATCAAGTCTGGTGCAAAGGAATATTGACATGAGCAGCCTAGAGCAAGGTATGGCTCTTCAGTTTCAAACCCCCAAATTCTCTCTCTCACCTTTTATCTATTTGTTCATTTAACACATTAGTATTTATTATTAAATTAATTTTATTAATATTAAATTTTAATGTATTTGAGAAACAAGGGAAATTGTGTTAGAGTTTAGAAAAAAACATTGGGCAGGCAAGCTATAGACCCCCACTAGATGCCTGATGAATAAAGGGGATAAAAGCCATGCCATTGAGGTTTTGACACAGGTCAGACACGTTGTGGACAAGCAACCACATGGCAAGGAGGGAAGCTTTGACAAAGGAGTGAAGAAGCTCAGAATATCGGCATAAGCCCCAAGTGTCAAGGGAGGAATGCTTAGAAAAAGATGGAAAGAGATCAATAAAACAGTAAGCTTTTCTAAATTATTTAGAACAGTAGGTAGACTCGGGACCCTATCGGCTGCAGCCCATAAGCTTCATTTATCTTGCATATTTTAATCTGTGTGTGTGTGTGTGAGTGTGTGAGTGTGTGTGTGTGTGTGAGAGAGAGAGAGGTGTGTGAGTGAGTGTGTGTGTGTGTGAGTGTGTGTGTCTGTGTGTGTGAGTGTGTGTGTGTGTGTGGTATGTTGGGTGTATGTAGGTAGGACAGAGTGAGAAAACATGGAGGTAAAAATACTTGAATAGACAAGCCATGTAATCAAAAGAAACTTATTTGGCAAAAGCTAGTTAAGAACTGAGTGGCAGGCAATTCATGGGCTGCACTGACTTTGACTAGTCTCTAAAAACTTAATTGTGCTATTTTTAAAAGAGCATCATGTCAAAAATAGGGACAAAGGAGCATTTTATCAAAATGTATTGATCTTTTCTTTCTGCTCTTCCAAGGTTCTATGAGGCCTTCGGAGCATGTTCTAAGACCTGCTATTTTGCAGCCACCTCAAACCCAAAGCTGCAAAAACATAAGCAAAACATTTGGGCATGGTGAATTGAAATCCTGCAAAATTAAGGAAAATATCAAGCACAAGGTAAGGAGACACTGGAACACTCTTGGTGATCTTATTAAATTGGAGAGTGTTCCCTGAACCAGGTTTCGTGGCTGCTGTCACTCCCAAGTGGGAACTCCAGAATGCTGACAGTATGAAATTCAGGGGCCAGAACCTGTGCTCAAATAAGTAGGGGTTCTGCGACCTCAGCTGTCCAAGGTCATAGTGAGGCTTTGCCAGTTTAGGTCACACCAGACATCTTCACAGATAACAGCAGCCAAGATTGCGTACACAGAGTAACAGTGCGTGGAGCAGGGGAGCTTGGCAGCCTCCAGGGACAGATAAGAATTCTTTCTTCTAAACACCGAAGGGTCTGAATCCCCCACTGTAAAGCTCTGCTAGAGGCATACTCTTTTGTTTGGGCATGCAGACGTGGGGTTCTGGAATGTCCTATGCCTGCAGTTGTAGCTGTGACACTCTGGAGGAGTGAGACACAACTTAGGCAGCTGGAATTTGAGTTATTCCATCAGCCCTTTGATTTCAGACTCTTGAAGTTGTTCGACTGGTTTGGTTTGGTTTTTGATGAACACAATGACAATAACACATGGACGTGAAATCTAACAGCCATTTTGATTAAGGGGAAACAACCAGAATGGAAGTAGTCTTGTATTGTAACTACTGTGCTTATCCAAACCAGGCACCCAATATTCTCCTTATTGGGGAAGAGAGGAAAGTGAACTTGGTCAGCATTTTCCAAAATTGTTATGCTTCCAAATCCTCTTCTTTATAAGATATGATTTTGAGGGACCCACTAAATTTTAATAATAAGTTAATCAATTATTAATACATGGAAAATAAGTGGTTTATATGATAAAACATTCTTAATTTTAAATTGATACATTACTAAAATTTTTAATTAAATACAATCTAGTAATTACTTTTATCTATTTAAGAATGTTGGGAAGAATGGTGTTAAATCAGTCTTAAATTTTGTAAGGAAAAGTTCACTAAATTTTGGAATGGTGTGTATAGTAAGTATAGACCAAATTTTTGTTATATATTATGATATCTAAAGTGTTGTGATATTTCTTCATTGCCAGGACTTTTATAAATATCACCGTGTGTGTGTGTGTGTGTGTGTGTGTGTGTGTGTGTATGTGTGTGTGTGTGCGTGTGCATGTATGTGCATTTGGAGGCCAGAGAACAACCTTGGGTGGCATCCCCCAGGAAACCTCCACTTTGCTTTTGACACAGGGTCTCTTATTTTGGCCCAGAGTTTGACAATCAGGCTTCCTGGCCAGCAACCCCGAGAGCTGCCTCTATGCCTGCCCAGCCCTGGGATTATAATGTTTGCTACTGCACCTGAATTTCTGGGGACTGAACTCAGATCTTGGTGACTGCATCTCATTACTTATCACTTTTTTTTTCATTTTCTGCTTCAATTATAAAACAGTTTGCAAATATTTCTTCATAATTTAAAGGTCTAATAAATACAGATTTCTCCCAGTTATAGAGTAACCCAACTGGGTATGTCTGTTACTGAGTTTTCTCTTCCATGATAATCTCTGAAGTTCCATAGACAAATGTTCTATGAAATTCTGTGGCTTAAGTTTGAGTAAATTAACATAATTTGTAAATAATGGGAAAATTATCCTTAAGTGAATTTTATAGAATTATTATCTTATATTCTTTATTGACTCATATCAAAACTAGATAAAATGGCATCCACACTGCTACTTTTTAGTAAGAATATTCACTGTCACAAATAATTAAAGAACTACAAACCACAGTGGGTACTATGTTAATGTAGTTTAATGGAAATATAAGCTTTGGCGACACTGTTTCTTACAGTCTGTGAAAGGTTTCCTTTTGTATTAATGAACCCTGAGGAGACTTCTTCGGCTCTCAGCATTCCTTAGCTGCCTGTTCTCTTTGTCTAGGGTTGAAGCCTCATGGGCTTGCCCCTCACTTTCCCTGCCCTGGCCCACTTTAACATGTCTGTTGTTCTTGGTAGGCTCATGTTTAGGCAGTCAGTCCTGAAAACATACACAAGCAAGCAACATTAGACTGACTAAGTAGGTCGTATTCATGTGTTTAGGAATACACACACACACATACACACACACACACACAAACATACGAGACTGTATGTAACAACAATTAGTGAAAAAAGAGGCGGTGAATTTGGAAAAGAGCAGAGAGGAGCATATGAGAGGATTTGGAAGGAGGAAAGGAAAGGTAATTATAATCTTAGAAAGTGAAAGAAATATTTAAAATTTTTCCTTTACAAGGTTGAGGCTTCTGCTCAGTGGTAGAGCACTTGTCTAGCAAGCGCACAGACCTGGGTTTGGTCACTGGCTCCTAGAAAGTAAATTCATCTGACTTAGCATACAACACAATGGGACTCATTGTGGCATCTCCATGCAGACATAGCATCTCACTTTGCCCTTCATCCCTCCTCCTCTCCAGCTGGTCCCCTTCCTTCTCCCGCTCCCTCTGCTTTCACACATTTTAAAAAGTCTACATTCTGCAGACAATGTCCGCTTACTGCATAAATCAAACCAGAAGACCTAAAGCTATTTCAGGTGACAAAGAGTGGGCTCTCATTTATACTGAAGGATAAACTATCTGAGTAACAAGATCACCGGCATATAGTTTGACCTTGGTTAACGGCACATAATCTCTTGTAGGTATTTGTCAGCTTTTAAATCCCTGGTATAATAGGGAATATTAATATTTTTATTGACATGTATAAAAAATCAAGTGGAAACAGAATCCACCTGACTTTCAAAACATGAACTATCCCTAGAGCAATTCTGCAAATCCCCATGGGGAAAAAAAAGGTGTCCAGAAAACACAGTAAACATTGGCCCTGATGAGTTCTTTACCGCTGGACCTACTGCAGCCCTGAAATCCCTCACTCTCGCATGTATGGAATCAGTATAGGCCATGCACATTACATACATGCTCAAACCAGTTTCAAATTGACACAGTTACCCACGGGAAATGTCAGATGAAGAGGTGAGCGGATTTCCTCTTACAGCGGGCAGGTGGCTGTGACAGCCAAGCTCTTAGGGTATTTCCAGAGACTGAACAGCCTTGGAAAGTCCCCCATTAATCCAGAAGTAATCAATAAGCCCAAATGGATAAAGTAGGGAGACGTAACAAAAGGCAACAAGTTGGTGGGTATTATAATGAAATACGCAGTCTCTGGAATTAGAGAACTGTACCTAATGTCACTTCCATGTGGTTGTGTGACTTGGGTGAGGACTCGGAGTTCTCTTCGTCAGCTGGCTCAGCTGTCAGCTGTGGGCAGTAGAAGGACAAAGTGCACTGAGCTGTGAAGAGCATATGAGATGAGGCACAGGAAGGGCTGGGGGCTGTGTCTGAACACTGGGACCTTTTAACATGTGTGGCTGTAACCGGTTTCTGTCTGATGGTTCTAGACAGAGCAGTTCTAATGAACTTTCAGGTGGCTTTATTTTCTCTCCTTTTCAGATATCTGATGCAAACTCTGGTTTGCAAAGTGAAAATTTACCAAATGCCAGTTCAGTCCAGCTGTCTACTGATCTACACATCTCAGAGGAAACCGTGGGGTAAAATTGTACAGCTCATTCCTTCTCCAAAGTGTTTGGGACTAGAAGTGTTTCAGCTTAGTTGTTTGTTTGCTTAGAGTTTTTTAGATTTTTTTTAATATTTGAATGTAGATAATGTAATTAATGTCTTCAGGATGAGATCAAAATCTAAACATAAAAGACATGTACACAGAGTTACATACACCTTGAGTATATAATCTGAATGTAATTGTATACAATGTTTTTAATGATTTTGACTTTGACTCATTATAATGAGGCCAGGAATACACAATATTATATCAGTGTTCAAAATGTTTCAGATTTGGGAAAATTTAGTACTGCAGATTTCCTAATTAGGGGTATTCAACCTAATGGAAAACCAAAATGTTTCCTTTTCATTTGTGTTTGCTTTGACCATTTTAACTATTCATACGCTGTAATTTGCTGACACTGTATGAATAAATTGACAAGATTCTCATTTGAAAGCGCATTTTATAAGAAATGTCAGCTTAGAAAGCTCTTCAAATACCTCAGCTACACATTATTATCACAATAGTGTTGGATCGCCTTCATTATCTCATGGTTTTGGTCGGAATATTTTAAAAAGATATGACTAAACTTCAAGTACAAGTTGTCTTGCTATTAATCTTCCTTCCTTCTTTTTTAAAAATATATTTCCCCCTTTTCTAATCAATTTTGGTGCTCTATATGATTACTTAGCATTAATGGTTTAGGTAAAAGGAAAGCAGTGTGCATCTGCTAGTGTTACTTAGCAGCAGTGGTGATGAAGGAATGGTTTATCTGGGAGAACACTGGGAATGGCTGTGGACAAACACTGGCTCCATCCAGGTGGAGTACTATGAGGTCATGGGGATGTTCTCAGGACCCTTAGCACATCTGTCTACAGACAGAGGGCTGCATGCTTGATTTTCTCATCTTGCAAAACAAGTTTAATATAAAAGTCAAATTTCTTGGAGTAGAAGAATTAAAACAATGCACATCCAAGTATAATTGATAAGACCCCTGAAAATCTTGGATTGCTAAAGCATCGTTGGCCACTTCAGATAAAGAATAATGGCTCGGGATTGCTGGAATGCAGCATGATTAGGACTGGGCAGCCCTCCAGCTGGTCATGCAGCCCACATTGTGAGTGGCATGAGGTCATCCACACAGGTCAATGCCAATGTCGTAACAGCATGCAATAATATTTTGAATATCACCCCTAAAAGTCTCCAGCTCAAGTTTTCCTTCCCTTCTCATTCATTTCATATGAACAATGCTTATGTTTGAATCACCTGTTTATTTTGCCTGCTAAGGCTTAAAGTGGATTCCTCCACAAATTTAAAATACTAAGTGCTTATTTCTGTTTAATAGATGCCAACCAACAGAAGATAAGCGTTCTTTTCAAAGCTGCAGTTCTGACTTTGTTTTTGGAGAAAACATGGTAGAAAGAGTTTTGGTAAGATTTTGATAAATTATCTTAGGGGACCTGTTCACATTTCTCAAGGCAAATTAATTAGTGTTCATTTCGAGAATATTTCTCAGTTCTGAATAAAAAGTCACAATTTCTTTCTTTAAGTATAAAAGGCTTCTGGGAAGCACATCCCAGCTGTTTGAATGATAGACGTAAAGCCCGTAGAGCAATAAATCTCAACCTTCCAGTGCTGCAACCCTTTACTACAGTTCCTCATGTGCTGATCCCAACAATATAACTATTTTGTTGGTGCTTCATAACTGTAACTTTGTTGCTGCTATGAACTGTAATGTAAGCCACAAGAGTGCCATTTTAGCTAAGCTGGTTTTACATGGGTGCTGCAGATTCAAACAGATTCTTTTTGTTTGTTTGTTTGTTTTTTTGTTTGTTTGTTTGTTTGTTTGTTTTGAGACAGGGTTTCTCTGTGGTTTTGGAGCCTGTCCTGGAACTAGCTCTTGTAGACCAGGCTAGTCTCGAACTCACAGAGATCCGCCTGCCTCTGCCTCCCGAGTGCTGGGATTAAAGGCATGCGCCACCACCACCCGGCTCAAACAGATTCTTGAACTTGCGCAGCAAGTGCTCATACCCACTGAGCCATCTCCTCAACCCCTCGTTTCCAGAGAATAAAGTAGAGAGCCATAGAGGAAAATGCCAGTGATGTCCTCCCCTTGCCTCTGCATGCCTGCTCCCCATGGAAGAACATACCTGCCCACTCACATATGTCTCTCTCTCTCTCTCTCTCTCTCTCTCTCTCTCTCTCTCACACACACACACACACACACACACACACACACACACAAACAAATGCCACAATGAAATGCATTGTTTTGATTATTTTGTACAATTGATATATGCTAATAAAAATAAAAAATTCTCAAAACTAGTTAATTTCAATATTTTTAGGGCTCTCCAGACTCCAGAGTCATTTTTTTTATCTTGCTTGTTGTAGACATAACTCAGGACTGTCCTTCATTCTAAGGGTAGTTCTATTGCTTTTTAGCTTTAAGAAAGGGCAGGTCCACCTGAAGGTGCTGGTCCATGCCTCTCATCCTAGCACTAAAGGGGCTGAGGTAGAAGGGTAGACAGTTTCAGGCCACCTTGCACTAATTAGACCCTCTCAAACAGACAGTCAAAAGACAAAACAAAACAAAATGATGGGCAACTCCACCAGTAGTGGAGATATTATTCCACATCTTAGGATCAGAACTTGAATGAAGCAAGCAAGCTCCAGGCGAAAGCCTGTGCAATACGTTGAGGCAAGTTCTCTTTTCCTAAGTTTGACACTTGAGTACCCATAGGCTTTGTAGGGTGCTAGCACAATTAAGATGCTTTCCATATTCACAAGAGGGTCTTCTGCATTCACTTTACCAAGAACGTACCAGGTTCCTATGGTACATGAGGTCCTGAGTTCATATACTGATGACCTTGTTACTTAGATACTTTATCCTTTAGTTTAAATGATTGTTTTCACTCTTTGTTACTTGGAATAGTGTTAGGTATATTTGGTTCGATTTATACACAGTTAGTGGACATTGTTTGCAGAATGTAGGCTTTTAAAAAATATGACATTAAAGTAGAGGGAACAGTATTTGGGAGGAGGAAGGGGACCAGCAGGAGAAGAGGGGCAGGGGTAAAGGAGAATAAAGCGTCAAAAGACAACACAATATATGTATGGAGATGCCATAGCGAGTACTATTATCTTCTATGCTTATGCTAAGAGGAAAGTCTTTTTTTCTGTGACTGCATGCGTGTGTGTGTTCTATGTATCAGGTGTGTATGCATGTGTATAAACATGCCATGCATGTATATTTGGAGACCATGGGACATTTCTTACTACTTTTCATTTTATTTCCTGAGACTGGGTCTCGCTGATCCTGCACCTTTCTGGACTAGGCTGGCTGCCAGCTCTTGTCTCCACCAGCCTCTGCCTCCTAGTGCTTGGGTGCTATGTCCATGTGGCCATACTTAGCTTTCTTTGTGTCCTGGGCATGTGCCCTCAAGCTTGTACAATAACCACCATTACCCACCGAGCCATCTCCTGGCTCCCCATCTGGGAAGCCTTTAACTGAGATCTTAAGAGCTGGGCCTCACCCAGACTCATTAGATCAGAAATGCCGTGGGTGAGGTCAAGGATCAATGTCATTCTAATGTACAGCTAGGTCTGAGATCCATCTAAGTAGTTATGCAAAGCTAAAGCAGACAGTACTCTAGAGAGGCTTACAGTGTGGTAAGGGAACAGAAAGAAACCTATGAGAACAAACAAGAGCTGGGACCACAGGGGTCTGGGGTGAGAGAGCACTTGTTACATCTCACGGACAGTTTTGGATGAGGCTTATCAAAGGACTGGAGCTTCCCATTCCTCTCAGGGAGGATGTCCCAAGGATGCTGGAACAATCCAGATGGTTTGTGTTTTTCCTCTAATTAATCTTGTGAATCCATGGCCTTGTGATACGGGTGTCAAAGGGCATTCCCAACTTTAGCTTTTAGAATGAGTCACAAATCTTTCTGAGCTGGTAGTTCTGTTTTCTTGAACTGAAAATGATTGTAATTTGTCTTTACTTAGTTTTAGGGACGATACTGATTTCCCATTAAGTATCATAGAAGAATCTTGAGTTCAGAAAGGCAAGATTTGAATGTGTTCATAAGTGGCAGTGTCCCACCTTCACTGTTCTGCAAGGGGGTACACACACAGCTGTGAATAGCACAGTTATTGATATTTTTCATGCAGCCTTTTATGACATCAGATATGCTGAGCCTTGAAAGTGCTTGTTGATGGGCTAGAGAGATGACTCAGTGCTAAAGGTACTTTGCCACCAAGCCTGGTGACCTGACTTGGAATTGAGGGACCCACTTGGTGGAGGAAGAAAACTGATTCCAGCAAGCTGTTCTGTAACCTTCACACTTGTGTCTTGGTATGCTCATGTGTACACACACAGCAACCCAATGACTGTTGGCAGAAAGATACTGATGTTGGAGGAAACGTTGAATTCTTTCTGTTCTCTGAGATGTCTAGTGGAGTTTTCTCTCCTGGGGAGTAGACAGCAATAGCAAATATCTGAGATCACTGAAAAAAGGTGAAGAGAATGGCCCTAGGTCAGCCTGGTGGCCATAGAGCAACAGCCACCTGCTTCCTCTTACTCAAGCTTTTCTTGTTTTCTTAAAACCAGATTCACCTGGCTGGGCTGGGATAAGTGGGTTCTGGCTTTTGAGGTTAGAACCAACATTTCTGACTATACCCCAGTTCTTTGTCAAGTACAGAGGGAGCCCGAAACAAAATCACAGGAGTTATTTCTTGTGTGCTCTGTTGAAAAACAAATATCTTTTGTTTTGTTTTTGTTTTTTTGTTTTTTTTTTTTTTTGCTTTTGCAAATATCTAGGCATAAGATTAAACGATGCACATTTCTCCCCACTTAGGGCACCCAAAAGCTCACTCAGTCTTCACTTCAAAACCATTCATATGCCAAGGAAAAAACATTCAAATCTGTCCTGAAATGTCCTAACGCCTCTTCAGATCCAAGTAAGAATCATTTCATTTGTAAAGCATTTAACTTCACTGTCTCCTGTTGTTTTTATATGTATAGGTGTTTTGCATGCATGTATGTCAGTGCACCACATGTGTGCCTGTTGCCCAAAAAGGCCAGAAGAGGGCATCAGATCCTCTGGGAATAGAGTTACAGCAACCATCTTGTAGGTGCTGAGAACCAAAGCTGGGTCCTCTGAAACACTCTTACCACTGAGCTAGCTCTCCAGCCTTTTGTCTCCTTTTACTTTAATGACATTTACTTAATATCCAGACAATTTTAAAAGCTTTTAAATACTTTTAAAATCGTTTTGGCAAGGGTTAAAACATATAATTAGGTTATAATATAAACTTTAAAATTATTGACTTAATACTATGGGAGAGTAAATTAGGTGATTTTAACCCATTCAAACAGTTTGGCCTTTAAACCATAAGGTAAGAATATGTACTAACAAGGTTAGCACACAACCTTCATGACAGAGGAAACAGGGTCTCACACATTTTTCCTCCTGCTTTCTCTTTGGAACAGACTCTATTAAAAGTCTATCCTTAATTGAATCAGCTGCTGCCTTTTCTTCTAAACCATCACAAAAATGCTTGCTTGAGAAAATTGATGTCATAACAGGAGAAGAAACGGAACATAATGTATTAAAGGTTTGTATTACTTTTTCTAGTATTATATAGACTAAAGCCAACATCAGCATAGACATCTTCAAAAATAGCTAAAAATAGAGTTTCATAAAGACTAAGTTGTTTGAATAAAAACTATTTGTGGCTTGTAAAATTTCATTGTTAAACTAAGGCACTGTTAATCTTAAATTCTCTGTGTGTGTGTGTGTGTGTGTGTATGTGTGTGTGTGACGGAGACAGAGAGAGACAGAGAGAGAGAGAAAGTTTACAATCACTGATTCTGTTCTGGAAGAAGAAAGAGGCAATGAACCTAAGTTTAGGATCCTCTTGCTCTAGCTTCCCGAGTTCTGGGTCTTGTACACATGGTGTTCTAGGATTCTGTCTTAAATAACTTCAGACTTCACTTTCTACTTCTCGTGTCTGCTCTCACAGCCAGTGCCATTTCTATGATCAACTCTGCTGATCCTGGAAGGTGACTTGATTCCAGTTTAAGATAAAAAGCTTTTCTTGTTATTATTGTTTATTAAAGTGTAGACTTCTGCATAAATCAAGAACTTCACAGACGGATGCTGTATGTGATTGGGGCTGTGGTGTCGGGGACTCTCTGTGGAGTCTCTGTTGTCCTCCACTGTCACGCTTCATCTTCTCCCACACTCTCTCCACGCCCCCGCATTTCCACTATGACCTAAGGATACTTTTACTCCAATAAGTGCACCTCAGGGTTTAATTCCGGCCTAACTGAAGTAACTGTTAAAAGTCAGTCCCTGGCACACTGCATTCTCACTTGGATATGCAATATGACGTCTTATGCACGGGAGGATTTGATAACCGGCCACAAGGGTCCCTGTCTTATCATGTCTTAGCTCTCCATGTCCGTGAGCTGTGTTTGAAATATTTTAGCATGCAAATCCATGATTCATTTCTTTCAAATAACATTATGTGGCCAAAAATAATATCAAATTTAATGCAGAAATTGGCATGTAGACATATAATAAAGCAGCAAGTATACATGGTAACCTATAGTTTTAGAAAAAGATGAAAACATATTTGTGTTGGTATGTATACCTGCAAACATCTCGGAAAGATTTGTGAAATACAAGAGTTACAGGAGTGTAAGATGGAGAGCAAAGACTGGGAACCCTTTTCATTTCACGTCATGATGTTATTTTTATATTTTTCCAGTTTGAACTATTCAGAGATTGCACGTCCTTGAAAGTTAAATAAATCTTAAGTTCTAGTTCATTTATCATCAACAAAGATTAAATAAGTTCAAGACAAGTCAGATACAAAAGCATTAGGGCATAAGAAATAATTTAATCTAAAAAAATTTTAATATATCTGACATTTTAAACAATTGTCATTTAGATCAACTGCAAGATCTTTGTATTCACCAAAATAACACAATCCTGGACTGAAAGAGGCCGAGGAATCTTGCGGCTGAATGACATAGCCAGCGGTGACTGTGGGACACTGCAGTCAAGACTAAGTAAGAAACAATGCTGTAGGGAAAATGGGTAAAATCGCTCACGAAGATTCACACTGCTTTCTGCAGATGCATTACCAAACACACCAATAAATCTGATGATGGAAAACGATTTCTAATTTACTCTAGGATCTTCCCATTTCACGGAAGCTCACCTACCAGACACATGGGTTCAAATTTTTCCTCCAGCACTGACTAGCAACCCCAAAGAAATGGCTTGACCATACGAATTCAAATTGTGAACAACTGTAGTCTGTGGGCTTTTCAGTGTTTGTGAGAATTTACTGAGATACTATAACTCAAGTCTTTTGAACAGCTGTGAAAATCTGGTGAGATGCTGTGTGGAAGGCACCTGTGTCAAAGCTAAGCCCACACCTGAACAGTGGTATCACCAGCATCAAAAGGGAAATAGCTTTGTAATGTTCAAAGTTTGGGGGAAAGAAATACCTGACACGTCATGTATCCTTGGCATCCAAACAGTGTGGAGCTGGGATGAGGGGTCAGCTTCTGAGGAAAAAGTGTGTAACTGTTGCATCCTGCAGCAAATGGGTGATCAGAAGCTGGGGGAAGATTTCAGATGTTTGGCATCCAAAAGGGCACACTGGCCTTTGTTCAGAGGCCCAAACCGCATATGAGCAAGGGTAGAGGGCTGGTGCGGTGAATTATCTTGCCAGACAGTTCTGAGAAGCCAACATTTTAAAGAAAAGTACACATAGAATCTGGACCAGGGCACAGGAGGATTTGTTGAATTTCAAATGTCAAGCTCAAAAACTAGAAAGGAATAGAATTCAGAACAAAAGACCAAGAACAGGGTTTTCAACTTTGTAATGGGTAAATAGGTTGCTAAATCATGCAACCAAGGAAGTACTGATTGTTCACTACTCTGGTTTACTTCTGCTGCTCGCCAGGAAAACAATTAAGATCAAAATTTCCAAACACCTTTACTGTTGTTATTATTATGTGGGTAATATGGGCTCACCACAGAAAGCAGCAAATAAATCAACCAAAGAATAGATAAAATAGTGTCAAGGTCTATCCTCTAGATACAGCGTGTTAACAGAACGCATTCTGTGGATGGCGTTCTCTGTACACTTCTATTTATTTATTTATTTATTTTTATTTATTTATTAAAGATTTCTGTCTCTTCCCCCCCAGCCGCCTCCCCTTTCCCTCCCCCCCCCCCCTTTCCCTCCCCCTCCCCCAATCCAGTCCCCCTCCCTCGTCAGTCCAAAGAGCAATCAGGGTTCCCTGCCCTGCACAGTTTGTGGTTCATGGTGCTATACTGATCTGGCATTTTCTACACAGTATTCCATGATTGTCTTTCCACATGAGAAACTTTCTTCAGTACCGTTAGCGGATTTTCAGTATTCTCTTTAATGGCTGAGCTGTAATGGATCTGATTCAACATTTTGAACACTTAAACTTTGCTTTTGATTTTTTTTCATTGTAAACGTTTCTTAGATAATCTTCATGTCACCAGGTCTTCAAATAAGCCTTTTAAATTTAATAATTTAAAATTTCTACAAAAATAGAATTCTAACACTGAAATTAAAGTAAGTAAACACACAAACTTTCTCTAATGTGAGGTCCAATTTTAAAGCCGAGTTATAATCTAGCTAAATTACCACTCACTAGTGAAAACACAGCTCGAAAGACAACTACAGGATTAGCTTTTCCTTAAAAGGTTTTTCTTCCAGGTTAAGGCAGTCTAATGTGACTTGTTCATTTTCTCGTCGTAGTCATGCGCAACCAAGGCAACCTGAGGCTGGTCCTCAACAGCAGACTCTGGACCCAGATGAAGATTCAGAGAGCAAATCACAGAAATCTGCGAATGACTGCGACCGATTTAGAAGACGATGGTATAAAAATATTCTTAATTCAGGTAAGTTACTGATTTCAGTTATGAGGGCGTCATCCTACTAATACAATAATTAGCCTCTTGCAATTCCTAATTCATTTTTGCATCATGGTATAATAATCTGCATGGTTCAGCTAAGCCCTTGCATGAAAAAAATTATCTGCATGGTTGGCAAAGAAATCTGTCATCCATTATGATTACTGACAGTTTAATATGGCCTAACATCTATTCAAATTGACACCAAAGCCAATATCAATCAGTTGGTCCTCATTCTAAGACATTTGGATGTTACCACCTAGCATTTCCTTTCCTACTGAAATTATGTCAATAAGCGTATGAGTTCCCAGTGTTTACATGGTCACAGTGGCTCCTAGGAGGTCAGCAGAGTCTTAACCTGCCACTGGCGTGGTTACCCGGATAGAGGAGGCTTTGTGGTCACAGCAAAGTGTCCAGTGAGGAATGGAAAAGCACAAGGCCAGCATGTCACAACCAGTCCAGCAGCAAATTCCAATGCCAGACATGAGACAATCTCCAGGGTAACGCAGGGAAGCAGTGCTGTTCCCTGCAGCAGGAATGCCTGCCCTCAAATACAAGACGTAGATCCAAGAGAGCTGCCAAGAACAAAGCTTTCTTCCCGCCACCCCCAACCTTCTATCCCCAACTGGGTTTTCCCCATAGCCTGAGACTTGGAAGATTTGAAAGATATGAGAAGCCAAATGATATGGAAGTAGATAATGGTATAAGTGGATAGACTTCCACTAAGTAAAGAAGAAAAAATGGTATGTGACAAAACCCCAAATTTTATTAATTAAAGTGCTTCATGAGGTATAAGTGACCTAGATAGTAAAGTGTTAGGAAAAGTTCAGTCAGCAGCAATACAAAAACAAACAAAAAAAGAGTAAGATGCTAAGATGCTAAGTCCTCTTTATCATTTAAGGACGCAATACCCATCCCACTGGTGTTCATTGGGGGGAGCATGGTGGAGAGACTGAGGCTGCCTCTCTTCACCATTCCCAGAGCTTGAGCCATGCTGGTGTTTAAACTATGGCACACTCACAAGAGACGAACAAAGGAAATACAGTAAAGATCATCTGTTGTGAACGCTATCAACATTTTAGTCTTACACTAATAGGTTAAGCATCTCTGATTTAAAAATTTGAAACCCAAAATGCTCCCAACTCCAGTTTTTGAGCTTCAACATGGAAATTTTCACACCAGGTCTTGTGTGATAGGTCCTAGTCAACACACAGGCACACTAATATATTGAAGAAAATTTCCTATAGGCTATGTGTGCAAGGTGTAGATGAACCCTAAATAAATTCTATGATTAGATTTGGGGTCCATCCACAAAATATCTTAGTATGTATCTGTAGATATTACAAAATCAGGAGAAACTAAATGTGTACATATCCATTTATATGTGTACACTGTACAATTATATGACCTCCAAATTTCTTAGATTTCATTAAACTGACTTACATGCAAAATGAAGGCAAAAATGATATATTTTTTTCGAGACAGGGTTTCTCTGTGGCTTTGGAGCCTGTCCTGGAACTAGCTCTGTAGACCAGGCTGGTCTCGAACTCACAGAGATCCGCCTGCCTCTGCCTCCCGAGTGCTGGGATTAAAGGTGTGTGCCACCATTGCCCTGCCCAAAAATGATATTTTATAAAACTGCTAAGATTAAAATGAAATGATGACGCATTTTTTTCTTAGTGTGAATGAGTGTTTTAACGTTGTAACTAGACATGCCCCTTTATTTTTCTCAGCAACAGTTTTCCCCTTTGTAAAAGGAAGAGGGACGGTATGTCTGTACTAGTTGTTTTATAGCTAATGCTATACCAGTTTTAAGTACTTCTGCCATCATCTTTATATTAATGACAACCAGAATTTAGCTCCGAGACGTTCTGAGAAGTACGATGTCTGCAAATGTCACCATTCCTCTGAACCTTCCTTCTCCACAAAGCTGTGTGGGTTGCAGGGTGGGGAAGTGGAGTGATGAGAAGCAGAAGGCCTTTTCCTCTGAGCATGAGCAGAGAGGGACCCTCTTAAAGCTCTCAATTCAAAGAGGATCCTTAAATTACGAAACTGCATTTGCTCCACTTAACATGTATGGATTGAGATCTCACAACACTGCTCGCTTTGGGAACAATCTGGTGTAAAATGGATCAGCTTTACTTTTTAACATGCTGGGCTGTGGGCATTTCTTTACCTTCCAGATTTATGTAATACAATTCTGTCCTTTAGAAACAGTGAGATAAAAAGAGATGTAAACATAGACATTATCCATTTCTCACAAAGGCTAGTGCCAAAGACATAGGCTATCTGTATGCAGCGATACATCACCGCCTCGTTGCCCTCCGAAGCCTCAGGAAGCACGCTGAAGGCGATCCTGCTGAAAGCCAATTGGACACAGTCGTCCAGCAATTCAGCTGTGACGAGGACGAGGAGGACTTCATCCAAGTCACTAAAAATGGATCAGGTAAATAACTCTTGTTAGGTCAGAAGCCTGAAAGCATCATGGTGAGCATAGTCCAGTCTCGGGTTGCTTTAAGTGAGTGGTGGTTGGGGCCTGGCTGTTTGTATCCAGGAGAAGGTTGGAAAAAATCTGTCTTCTCCAAGGGGCCTTCGAATTGGCTTCCCTGTGACACCTGCAGGTCATTTGCCTATAAATTCTAAAAAAGACTTGGCTCACAATTTAAAGTATGACATGGCTACCTTGAAAGTAGCCATGACTCACACTCATTTTCCCACGGTTCAGCCTATTATTGGCTACAGCTAGAGGCAACAGAAATGTATGCAATGGGGATCAGGTAAATCTGGTTTTAAGTCCTGAAAATCGTATTTATTCTTCTTTTGGAATTTGATTGCTTAAAGAAACACCTAAATGGCCTAAGTATTATCTGCAAGGTCCTCCTCTGACTAGGGCAGAAATGACTACTCCTTAAAACTGGACCAGGAGTCACAAACGAACCGAGGCTGAACAGAATCAGCAGTAAGATGTTTTTTGGATTTTGTTTGTCCTGAAGTGTGGATTTGAATGCAGCACCCTGATACCACTATTGGTGGGGCGCAGTGCCAAAGACCTAGTAAGCACTGCTGTGTCTGTGGACGGAGCTGTTCTACCAGCCACCTGGTCATTTCCAGTGCCAGCTTCATTCAGCACAATTCCGTCTACAGGGACTGGCAATGTAAAATGGTCATGTGATGAGAATTTCCATCTTTCAATCATTTGAAAATCTTAAAGCTTTCCTAATTATACATAATTTAAAAAATGATCAAAGAACATATAAAACAGAATGAAAGACTTTTCTTGATTATTAAAATTATAATTAAAAGGAAAATTCTACCGTGTGTTCAGATTAGGTTGTTAAATTCAGTATATGAGTATGATTTTCTACTTTAAACAAATCTATTGAACAAAAGGTTTATGATTCTCCACATTAAATGAAATGAATAATCTTTCATATTACAATGTTTATATTGTCCACAACAAAATGAATTCTACTAGAAAATGTCAACATGAAATAGAGATGAAATGCCAAAATTTAACTAATAAGACACAATATGAAACTTTTCCGTGTGAAACTTTTACTTTAGGAAGGGGCTGATAGCAACCATGTGACTATTAAATAAATGGAAATGACATAAGAAACTGTCAATCACAGGACCCTCCTTCTGCTATTGTTCCCCCCCTCAAACAGCACCTTCTTCAGGAGATATTGCAAACTATGCTAAAATGTTACAGAAGCTATAAAATGCCTGTTTGGATTTCGTTGCCCATGAATTAAATAACATTTGTTAGAAAATGTCATCTTTAAAATTGTTAGTGACATTGTTGGTAAGATGGCTCAGCAGGGAAAGCATGTATCACTCAAACCTGACAACATGAGTTTGAGCTGCAGAGCCCACGTAGAGGTGGAAGGAGAGAACCAACGTCACAGAGTTATCCTCTGCCTCCATAAACATGCCTTAGCACACGTGTGCGCCGCTTCATCGCTCTCTCCCTACCTCCCTCTCTCCCTCTCTCTCTCTCTCTCTCTCTCTCTCTCTCTCTTACACACACACACACAAACACACATACATACTAATAATGATCATAAATTCAAAATCTGCAAAAGAAGAGTATACACGAGCTAAAATCAACCACACTTGATATATATAGGTGGGAATGAAAATTATTAGCAATATTTTCCGACATCATTTAAACATATATTTTTATCTTTCATTTCCTTATCACTAAGCTACTCCTGTTTATCTGCATTTGTATTAAGTCTAAATATGACATCATGTAATGAAATATTTTACGTTCGCCACAGGCCCTTCAAGGTGGAACTACAGACAGTCAGTTGTCTGTTCCTAGCACTCCCTCCTGTCACCAATACATCTACAGGAACTGGTCACTCTCCTGAAATGCCAGGCCGTCCTAACCGAGGAGATGCTGCACATACCTTGAAGAGGTTTTTTTTTTTTATGAGAGAAACACAATTTATTGTAATTAAAAGTTTTATGTTTTATATTTTGAATATTGTGGACAGAATTTAAGAAATGAACTTCAGAAGATAAAAATTCATCTTAATCTAGAATAGGATTTAGTAACTAATTTGGATAACTCATCATGTTGATGAATATAATAATTAAAAGTATAAATTGTTGGCTTTGATAAATATCTAACTAAAGTATTTATTTTAGTCATACATTGGCTATAGAAATAATACTAAATTTACAGTCATATCTTTAAAAATATTATAGCTGCAAAGCATTTTATTAAATCATGTTTAACTTCTGAGAAATGTATATTTTCACTTGCATTTTCAGTTTCCTAATAGATATATTCAGGGAGAAATTCTTTTACAAAAGTGTCCACTCATGGACTTGTATCCATTGCATCTTATGTATGTGACTCACAATCAGTTCACAACTGTTGGTGAATAATGGAACAAAATGTAATATATTACCATGTGTCAAAAAATACAAAAGCCAAATATCAATGTTCTTTATTTATGCGATTGTCATTAATATGGTCTCGTAGTGTGTGGATATGTAGAAACCCTTTTATAACAAATGTATTATATATAGTCAAATGACTATCTCAAATTCTACCATTATGGTATAGTAATTTCAATATTTTTCAGAAGATGTTTTTATGCCCTTTTGATATTTCAGAGGTATTTTATGAAGCAAATATGAAAATCAGTCTCAGTACTTAGGGCCATGTTTTATTTTATTAGTGGCCCTAACCAGTTCCATCCCAGGATAAGGATTCAGGATCCTGAACGTTTCTGAATGTGACCTGAACCCTCACGTACATACTTGTAATGAGGTATAACTGCACAAACCGCTACACTGAAGAAACAGTTATTTGCAAGTATATATCTGAATAGATATTTTAAAAGTTAACATTGCTTAATTGCCTTCCTAGCAACAAAAGCATCTGCGTGTACGTATTTACCAACCAAAGCTCAGCTCAAATCTCACAGTTTAGCATACTGCAGCCGAATAAGCTCTTAAGAGTAGGATTTGATTAATATGTTCAGAAGAAAAGAGAAAGGGGACACCGAAGAGATAGAGACAGCTCCAGGGAAAGGAGTAATTTAGATAATTAAGATTATAAAAGGAACTCTGGTGCAGAACCCCCTCAGTGGATATTTCTTACTAGTAACATAAGAGTCAGGGAGGCACTTGAAGACCATATGAAAGCACTGGTTCACCTATAAGACCTTAGCTTTTTGGGAACGTTGTAATTATAGAATAATTGTTGAAGCAAGCAGAAAACAGAGGCCCCTTTATCTCTTGGAATGTTTCTCCTTGTTCCTACACTGGAATGGAAATGAAGCAACATTTTGTCTGTGTGCCAACTATTTTACTATAAGTTGAATCGACTCTGACTTTCTTTGGTCTTCTGTACAGATAGCAAAGGAGAAACAAACTTACTTGTGGACTATACAGAAATGTCAGGAGATCCCCAAGTAGGTTAGAATGTCAGCAAAGCAGGGACAGTGAAAACTTCTGGATCATGAAACAGTGACAAAGAGCAGAAACATGAGATATAATGAAATATTTCTTCATCTTGATTACAAAAAAAATCTAGCCTTCCTCCCCCTTTCTTGTTTTTTGTTTTGTTTTTTTTTTTTTTCTACAAACTTTATCTCCTTTCAATAAGAGGTAACCAATTATATAATAATATCAATTTTCTTAAGTTATGCAGAAGGTGATTGCTAATCCTACATTCTGGATTTTCAGACAAGTTATTTTTATCAAAAACTTCTAATTTTATGTTGAATTAAGATATTTTAATATAATCTAAACATTCTTTTTCAATAGTATTTACTCTAATTGTTTAGCTTAATTATGAATCATTAAAATGTTTTTGTCTTATTTTACATCCTTTATGACTTACTTTTTGTTGGTGTGATAAAGCATCCAAAACAAGGGACTTACAGAAGGAAGAGTTTATTTGGGCCTACGGTTCCAGAGGGAGAGTCCACAATGGTGGGGAAGCATTGGCACAGGGAGCCAGAGCAGGAAGCTGAGAGATCACTTCTCTAACCACCGGCAGGAAGCAGAGTGAATCAGAAATGGGACCAGGCTACCCACTCTCATAGCCCACCCCCAGTGACATACTTCCTGAAGGTTCTCTAATCTATCCAAATGTTACCACAGAGACTAAGTGTTCAAATACTCAAACCTATTGGGGACATAAATTAATCAAACCACCACATAATCCATTATTACCAAAGCAAGGTACCCTTCATTCCCAGTGAAAAATATCTCCTCAAGTACAGGACTATATCAATGTTATAAAGAGGGTTACACGTGCGTGAGTGCTGTAGAGACTGGAAAGAGTACATTTTAAGATACCTGGAAATCGGGGGCTGGAGAGATGGCTCAGTGGTTAAGAGCATTGCCTGCTCTTCCAAAGGCCCTGAGTTCAATTCCCGGCAACCACATGGTGGCTCACAACCATCTGGAATGAGGTCTGGTGCCCTCTTCTGGCCTGCAGCACGCACATAGACAGAATATTGTATACATAATAAATAAATAAATAAATAAATAAATAAATAAATAAATAAATAAATAAATAAATAAATAAAAAATATTAAAAAAAAGATACCTGGAAAAAGATACCTGGAAATCTTCAAACTGAAGACATCAATGACACACGACACTTTCATAAAATGTTAGGAACAGTAATATTTGCTTAAGATGTGGCTATCATGTACTTACTTGGATCGTTTGTTAGAAAATCACAGCTGGGCCTGAGAGCACACATCTTTAATCCCAGTACTTGGGAGGTGGAGGTAGGCGGATCTCTGTGAGTTTAAGGCCAGCTCTGGTCTACAGAGCAAGTTCCAAGACATCCAGGATTGTATACAGAGAACCCAAAATCAAACCAAAACAAAACAAAAGAATGGAACGAAAACCACACCAGCTTCGCCATACTAAACCACTGGAATTAGAATTTGCAATTCAGTAACTAAAATTTTCTTGTCTGAGAGATGTGAAGCTGATACCCTGTCCCATGAATACCAGTTTTGTAACAGATCTTAACTCCCATATATACTCTACTATACTGATTGCTTTTTTTAAAAAAAAAAATCAGACTTGAAGTTATCAAACTGAGATATAAGAACATATTAGAACTTCTAAGAACTGTAGTCAGGGCAGAATCATGGAAATGATTGATGAATGCTTTAGCCTAATAAGGACTTGATAGCTTGATCGTCTTCTAACTAGAACATCCTAGAACTTAATTTCTTCCAGTCTAGGTGTTAAAAAGCATTCCACTTTGATATTAATTTGTATCTTTCTGATTTTTAATATGGCTGAACATCTCTCAAGGGGTTTACGTACTGCAAGTGTTTCTTTTGAGAAAATTTTAATGATTTTGCAAAGCTAATTATGCCATCCTGTCCTTTTGCTGTTTTCTAATATGTATAGCATAAAGCCCAGTCCCTTCGCATGGAAGTAGCTCTTTCCTCTGTCCCCATCTGTGGTATTGTCTCCCAGTGTGGCCTATTGCTCACAATTCGCTGGAAATTCAGAGTAGCTGCTTCACTGGGTCTCTACACATTTGTTTATGCTATTTCTTGTGTAGAATTCCTTTCTCATTGAGGGGGAGAGTTCAAGACGAGGCTTTTCTGTAGTTTGGGGGCTATTCTGGAACTTGTCCTATAGACCAGGGCAACTCGAACTCACATAGATCTGTCTCTCTGCTTCCTGAGTGATGAGATTAAAGGCATGCACCACTACTACCCTGCTCCTTTCTCATTCTTGACGACACTAATGTTTTGTTTTGTTTTTCAAGCCAGGGTTTCTTTGCTCTTGTAGGTCAGACTGGCCTTGAACTCACAGAGATCCGCTCTGCCTCCCGAGCGCTGGGTTTAAAGGCATGCGCCACCACCGCCTGGCAGACACTAACATTTTAATGTGTGTTAGTTCGAGACATTTCCCGGATATCTTCCCTAACTCTTAAGCTGAATTGAAACCTCCTCCTCTGATTTCTTAGAAACACTCTGTAGAATTCTACCATTGTACAACTTTAGGCTCCCAAAGAACAAAGACCCTTTATCATTTGATTTCTAGCACCGGAAGAATGTTCTATTCAAACATAATTTAGTGTGCACTAATAGATGTTGTATATTTGAACTGAAGAGACATCCTACAGTAAGCTACAAACAAAGGTCTGAAGTTAAGGAGAATGATGTGGGCTTAAGACACTGGTAATAGCTGAAGTCATTTAAGGCAAAGGAGGCTAATATTTGCAGGGTTTAATTTACAGTGGACATAGGGTTAGGCGTTTATTCATTTATGGACGACTTTACAAGGCAGCTACTGTTTGATAAATGGAGTAATAGGCTCAGAAAGGTTACGCAACCAGTCCAAGGTTCACAAAGCAAATACACACTAAAGTTGGGATCTGAATCAGTATTTTAGGGCCCAAACTCTTCATTACACAACAGTGGATGAGTTCACCACGGAGAATGGAGCGGGGGGGAGCAAGGGAGAGAAAGAACGTTTTAAGAGTCAATGTTAGGAGCTACATCTCAGAGATGGGTCTAGGAAGAACCCAAGAGAGGGAACTGAGAGGTCATTGGCATGCTCAGCATCAACAGCCAGATACTCCAGAAAGAACTGAGCCGATTCAGCGCTTCACATAACCAAGGGATTTAAGGATTAAATGGTATCTTCGGGGTTCCCTTCTGGTCATTTGGTAACTGTGGAAATAAGAGTAGTGAAGAAAACAGGGAGAAGACAAAAGGTTGGTGGTTCCCACAAGGATGGATCAGAAACATAAACTAAGCGTACTCCACCCCCCCTTCCTCAGAAAAAAAAAAAAAAGTTGGCAGCATGAATGTGTCGATGACTGATTAACAGGTTATTCTGTCCAGAATCTGTATGTAAAAGGGAGATAGGGGACAGGGGACAACTGGGGCTTAGAAGGTTCTTTCATTCTTCAAAGTTTTCAATGTCATAGGCATTGGCCATGTTTAAGAACTTGAGTGGAATATCCACTAGGGAGAGAGAATTCAAGATACTTCTGATCCCTCTGAGAGGATGTTTTAATGAAGCAATGCTGTGGGGGAGGCAGAAGAAAGCATCCAAAGTAAGGTTTGATGAGGATATCCCATTGAGTTGTTTCTGGCTGGAAAGTGGGAGTCAAAACTGTAATTTTCTGGTTCGAGGTAATAGGTCTGACATTACAGAAGCACCCGAGTCTCATAAATATGAAAGAGAGTGCCTGGAATCCAGAAACCACTTCCTGGGGGTGCCAGGGCTGCAAAGAAGCAAGGACCTCAGAGGCAGGTGCCGCATTACTAGGCTGTGCACTGTCTTAGAACTTTTCCTTCAGAGAAACTTTCCCTTCTATTCGCAGTATTCTTAGACCAGCCTAGATTTCTATGGTTGTGTAACTGTCCCCAACGACTGACAGTCTCCCTTGCTCCGGCTTTCAAGACTACCCAACATTCCAAAGCCAGATCAATAATCATCAAACACTGTTTTGAGCTTGCTTCACTGTGGGCAAAGAATAAAGGGCAAAGTGCGAGCGAACATTTTAAACCTTCAGTCTGGCCCTACCCAATTTTTCCAACCTTTATCTTCCTGTCTACAGAGACACCACCAATAGGCAAGACTCTTTCCCTCATTATCTTCCACGTTTCTCACTGACAGCACGGGCTCTCTAGACTGGTGCTCAGGAGGACGAGGAGCTTAGATCTCTGAGCTCCTGTTAATGCTCTATGATCCTTCTCGCTATCTGTCATTCCTCTCTAAAAAAGGGCTCAGCAGCTTCATTTGGCGTTAGGGGAACTTGGCCGCTTTGGGCAAGGTCAGTGTCCTCATCGCTTACCGCAGCTATCCAGCAGACACTGGTTAACATTCACCCAAGCCAAGCGGGGGCCAGAAAGCTAGGCCAAAACGAAAGCACCGAGGTGAAGATGCTCAAGGCCCTTGCTTTCCCGCCAGGCACTCAAAACTCAGTCAGCTCCCCCTGGGCCGCCTTAGACCGGTTCCAGCTGGATTTCCTCAGGCAGCTCAAACGCCAAATAGAATTCCTGCCCTCTCTCAGCCACAGCCAATTCCTGCAGCCCCTCGGGCTCCCAAACCTCCCCAAACTCTGATTGGCTGACGGCTCCGGCCTGGGGGCGGGCACAGAGAGGACTCCGAGGGTGGAGAGGGAGGTGGGGCCGGGCCGAGAGGCCAATGCGCAGGCGCAGGAAGGAAACGGATAAACAAATAAAACCCACCACCCGTAGGCCAGCCCCGTTCCCCGCCCCCCGCCCCCGCCCCCCTCAGGTCGTCTCGGGGGCTCCCCGCCCGCGCCGGTGTCTGGGCACGTCTCCCCGCTAGTGGCGCTTCCCACGCACGTCCCCGCACTTAACCTCTGCGCGCCCGGCGTGGTGCTGGCGGCGGGGAGTGCGAGCCTGCAGCCGCAGCCCGGCGGACCATGACTTGCTACCGGGGCTTCCTCCTGGGCAGCTGCCGGCGCGTGGCGGGTGGCCGGGCGGCTCTGCGGGGCTCGGGCGTGGACGGCCGGCGGCACCTGGGGCACGGGCAGCCGCGCGAGCTGGCGGGCCGCGGTAGCCGCGCCGACGGCGGCTTCCGCCCTTCGCGGGTGGTGGTGGTGGCAAAAACCACCCGCTACGAGTTCGAGCAGCAGCGGTACCGCTACGCGGAGCTCTCGGAGGAGGACCTGAAGCAGCTGGTGGGTCCTGGAGGGGGACGGCCGGTATCGGGGGGTGAGGGGTGGGGGTGGGGGATACGGCTGAGCCCCACGGGACACGGGACACCCGCAAAGCCCGACGGCCT